GATAGCTATTGATAAATGAGGAATAAAAAAAAATCGTTTGAATTTCATTACGTAGCTTAATAAGGCGTTTTAAGCAGGGAAAGTTCTTGCCTGTCACCATGGCAACGGCGTCGGTCGCGTCCCGTACTGGTCACGATCCTTCGAATGCGGGCGTTGGCCAGGAACTCCGCTTAATATCTTACCATATAATTTTTTTTTTCACGGTATCTGATTCTGTAATTTTCTTAAAATCATATTCAAAGAAACTGAAATTAACTGAAAACGAAAGGAGATAATGGAGATTATGGGAATAAAAAGTGTTTTACTTATAAATAATAAATTATTTACCTCTTATTGTTAAAACTTATAAATAATAAATTATTTACCTCTTATTGTTAAACTTCTCGTCTCTAAATCGAGAATATATCTGCTATTCTATGAAATAAAGAATATTTCAAGTGAAAAAAGTCTGAGAAATTCTAGCAACATTCTTCTGTTGATATTGTATTCGATGATTTCTTATATTTAACCTCATAAAATCGGATATATGGGAATGGGTAGGCCTATATTTTAATTCAGGGATGTTCATTTGTTTTGATAACGCGTCAGAATGAAAGGTATGTCAATCGGAAGTGTGTGTCATTGTTTTAGAGGCACTTTATATGAATATAGGAGAAAATATTGCGCTTTGTTAAGATGTTTGGGTAGATTTACTCTGTCATCTTGATGCGGCGCTAGCTTGTCAGCTGTTTTGAATTGCGCGCTCAAACTGTTACCAACCGCCAGTGAAATAAACTCCACCCTCGACTTGTGCATAAGTTATCTCTTTCCGAAATTGTTGGTGGGAATATTGCTTTTAAAACCCAAATATGTATATTTTGTGTGTTATTTTGATATTTCTATGCTCGTCGAGGACAGTTATGATTTGTACTTTATAAAAAAGACACTTCCACACGTCTGGCATCACTGAATATGCCTGTTCAGTGATGCCAGACATGTGGCATCACGGGGCAGCGCTTGGCATATCGGCAAGAATTCCTGCCCAGGCGCTCCCCTGCTTTAACTATATGAAAAGTCTTCTTTCTAGAACACGTCTGCATCTTGCGACCCATCAGGTGTCAAAAGATTCCTATCGTTATCTACTAACGAATTATAGCAAAAATATTCTACGTAATTAATGAATAAATGCAATATGAATGTTCTATTCTTGTTATGATCACCACTGTCGCTGTATGTCATTCTTGATATCTTTATACATTATTATTATCATTATTGTATTATTATTTATCATTATAATATCAAACATCACCAATACATGGATAATACCTTTAAAAATAATGATATATAATAAGAATGTGGAAGTCGAGTAAATTATGCCAATCCAGTAAATAATTTTTTAAGGACCATAAAATCATGACCCTAAATCCTAGCACGTGCTGTGGCATCAGTTGCAAGCCATTCAGATCTCAATTACTATATAATCATACTACTTCTCATTCATGTAAAAAAAAAAACGGCCATGAAACAGCTGATTTCGTTCATGCGGTACGATATTTCGACGCGGTGGAACTTCGTACGTCCGGTAACGTCGATGCCCCGCCCACTGACTTGAAATAATTGCAAGTATTTGGCGTTGCAGATAAAGTATATTTGTGTGTGTGTGTGTGTGTGTGTGTGTGTGTGTGTGTGTGTGTGTGTGTGTGTGTGTGTGTGTGTGTGTGTGTGTGTGTGTGTGTGTGTGTGTGTGTATATATATATATATATATATATATATATATATATATATATATATATATATATGCGCGTGTGTATGTTTGTGTGTGTGTGTGTGTGTGTGTGTGTGTGTGTGTGTGTGTGTGTGTGTGTGTGTGTGTGTGTGTGTGCATATACACTTATATATGTATATATACATATACATACATATGTAAATATGTACACATATATGTATACGTATAATGTGTATATATAGCCGATTTTTAGTGTCTGAAAAGTTAAGTTAATCAGTAATATACTTTTTTTTAAGAAAGAGAAGACACACAAGCACCATGGAACTAAAACTTTACCTATTGCAGAAGAATTTATTATAAAATATGAATATAAGAAATATATATTCCAGATCCAAATATAATAAATTCAAAATAAATCCTAAGTGGTGTTGAATACCCTTCCTACAGATTTGCGTCCGGGTCCAGTCAGCTGTGACGACGCTCCTCAAAAAGCAACAATAATATTTCGTACATTTTCGTTCACTCTCCCCACCCAGATTTAACCATTTTTATTTCTTTTTCTCCTATCTTAGCACTACCATCAACATCGATAATAACACCTATATAAATTCGTCAAATAAGTATATAAGCTGTGTAATTCAATTTAAAAAATATATATTAATAGATATAACCCGACACTGGGTCTGATACAATATGATCCAGAGACGAAGTCCAGCGGAAAAAAAAACGAACCACGGCCATATATATTCTCTTCCAGGGATGAGCTGATCCAAGACTAAATGGGACGAGGGAGTGACGGCTTCAGTGTGCAGTCTGAATTCGTAGGGAAAGGGTTAGGGCTTCCCTGTCGACTGAGAAACGTTGCCCCGCGTGTGTGTGTGTGTGTGTGTGTGTGACGTTTCTTCCCGACTTCACTAGCTGTGTTCCTCGTGTGGCTGAATATCTCTCGTTGTTGTTTTTTTTCTCTCTCCCTCTCTTTTTATAGCACTGTAAGCTCGAGAGAAGGGCGGCCTTGTTTATCTTCTTGGGTTTGGCCTTCAAGTATTAAAAGAGATAACGGCAGGGGTTTTGTCGTTGGCGAAGCTTGTGTTTAACATCAGCAGGATTTTGAAGAGTGGAGTACACGTGTGTGTGTTTAGTGTGGAGGGTCGTTGCGTGGACACTCAAATAACCCAGCGTGAGTCACACTTCACTTAACGCACACTTGTGTAGTAGGTACGTTTTCTGTAACGTATGTAGATCTGTTGGTGTTCTGTAACGTACGTTGATGTGTTCGTGTTGTCTAACCTCGTAGATCTGTATCTGAGCTGCAGGTAGATTTCCTGTACATATATTGTGATCTATTATGCATTTTTGATTAGAAAATCTGCTTTACTATATGTTGTAAAGTGTGTAAATATTTATATGCTTGTGTTGTAATACCTGTACATCTTTAAATGTGTTTGAACATCGTTATATCTTATCAGTTTTATATATCTGAACAGATGATACAATAGTAGATATGTAGATGTATATGCAAGAACATGTGTTAGTAAAACCGGGTTGACAAGGGAAACGTAAAATAGAAAAATGAGATTAAACATAGACGCCAACAGACAGGAAGCCGAGAGATGAGTAGGATAAAATGACGCAATATCCGTTTGTATAAAAGAAGGAAAAAATGTACATCAAACTTCTGTTACAGAAAACACGATTCATATAATATTAAGTTGACATAACTCTATATATCGTGTATGTCGTAGCGAGCGAGTTGTTAAGCAAGGTCATCTAGAATGCACAAGTGGGTGACCTTTTCGGTCGCTGCTGAATATGAATTAAAGTTTGGCTCGTAATATTTCATGTGATATTTATAGACCATCTGTTAATTTCTTTTTTAATGCCCTATAATTTCGCATATGCCATGCTTTTCTTGCCTGTCGAAAACAATCTATCTTATTATAATCAAGAAATCGTATAAAGATTTAGTTTTCTTGTAATTTTAAATTTTTAAAAGTTTATATATATTTTTTTCTTTGATTGTTTAGATGGACTTGGGTGTCGTTAGAAAAAAAAGGATAGATATTCGAAAAGTTGTTAGATAAGATGCATGATAAATTTAAGTATCTGAAATGTTAGTGATAACGAATATCTCAAGTTTAGTTACCCCTTATTAATATTCATAGAAAACTATTTGCATGCTACATTCTCTCTTTCGCATTTGCAAGGGTAACTGTTTCAATGTCATTCATATTATTTTTCCATAAACAAGAAAAACAAAAAAAAATATATATATAATTTGACCACCTTATGGAAAACAAAAGAAAATTGAAGTGTTTTATGCGCTGCAGTTGAAAATCACTGTACTCTAATAAAGCGACAGCAATCTTATCTGATAAGGAAATAATACTAGTTTTTAACTGATATGTAGATGTCTTAGTGATCTGTTTTACGAGCTTCAGCAACTGCCAAATTCCAAAATTATTCCATAAGTTCGTCAAAATCGGAACCAAATTAGATTAGATATGTAAATGATCAATCGTTTGGAAATTGTGAATTTCCAAAAGAGCTGAATTTATGATATTCGAAATTCCAACCACATTTACTTTGTTAATGGTTGAGCGTCAAAACCAAAAAACTAACAAATATATATATAATAGTGTATGTGTGTGTGTGTGTGTGTGTGTGTGTGTGTGTGTGTGTGTGTGGTGTGTGTGTGTGTTGTGTGTGTGTGTGTGTGTGTGTATGTGTGTGTGTGGTGTGTGTGTATGTGGTGTGGTGTGTGTGTGATGTGTGTGAGTGTGTGTGGATGCGTGTGTGTGTGTGTGCTCGCGTGTGGATTTGTGTGTGTGTGTGTGTGTGTGTGGGTGGTTGTTGGTGTGTTTGAATGTGTGTGTATTTTTTCTTTTTTTCATTATTGCTAATCGTAAAATATCTCTTTTAAACTATCCATCTAAACCTTTTCAGTTAACGAAAACTAATAAAATCAAAATACAGATGTTCCTTTGAAATTATGTTTGTAGAATAAAATAAACCGATTAAATATTAATGGTGAAAATGCAGAAACAATTAAGATGACGTCCGAACACAAAAAAAAATTTTCAGTGTGTTCGAACGCAGTGAATGTTTGAACACGTGTTAATGGATTCGTCAGATTAAAACATGCTTATTAATGCTAATTAAAGTTGAAAAAGTAATGCCAATAAAAGCTGCTGTCACACAATATGCTGTATATAAAATTCATGTAAATAAATAAAAAAATGACAGTTTTCGTGTGTAAAATGAAGTTAAAGGTCGTTCCAAAAAGCGAAGAATAATACCGCCAGATCGCACATCCATGTTTTTTTTCTTATGTTATTATCCAGTAAAAAACAAATAAACTAAATATGCAATCTATAGTAAATATGAAAAAAATATGTGCGTTATATATATATATATATATATATATATATATATATATATATATATATATATATATATATTTATTTATTTATTTATTTATTTATATCATAAATTAGACGTCTATAGCATTGTCTTGAATAGCGAAAGCCGAGCCGCATACAAGTCCCAAATCCTCTCTTTCTAACAAAAAATAAAGGTTTCGAATATACTTAAATCCCCCCCCCCTTTTTTTTTGCCCCACCCAGGGAAGACTTTTTTCTTTTTCTTCTTCTTTTTCAAAAAAATAAAAGTATATAGGTCCGGTTATAGCTTAACATAAACCCTAAGAATAGCTAACTATTATTTGTTTATTTATTTAATTTATGTTTTTTGTTTTATCTTTACTTTTATTTTATTTCTTTGTTTATGTATTTGTATATATAGAATATCTAACTATTATTATTTGTTTATTTATTTGATTTATACTTTTTGTTTTATCTCAATTTTATTTTATTTCTTTGTTTATGTATTTATTTATTTATTTATGTGACAAAAGACAGGATCAACGCACGAAAGTAGAATCAGAAACGATGATAAAAGAAACGATGATAAAAGAAACGATGATAAAAGAAACGATGATAAAAGAAACGATGATAAAAGTGTTTGGTATCGGAATCTCTTCAATGCTTTCAAATACTTTTATACAAACTAATGCCTATGATTCTTATTACAGAATATTAAGGGAAAAAAACACTGCAAAGAAAAAGAAGAAAAAAAAAAAAAAACAAACAGCTGTTGAGAGAACTTCAATTAACAAAAGAAAAATGGACAGAATTGGGAACGGTCCGGTAAGTAATCGGATATTTTCTTTGTTTATGTAGATAGATAGATAGATAGATAGAGATAGATAGATAGATAGATAGATAGAGATAGATAGATAGATAGATAGATAGATAGATAGATAGATAGAGATAGATAGATAGATATAGATAGATAGATATAGATAGATAGATAGATAGATAGATAGATAGATAGATAGATAGATAGATAGATAGATAGATAGATAGATATAGATAGATAGATAGATAGAAAGATAGATAGATATGCACATTGTGTGTGTGCGTGTGTATGTGTGTGTGTGTGTATATGTACATGTGTATATCTGTGTATCTGTCTATCTAACCTATCTCTCTGTCTGGTTGGGTATTTTTCTTTATTTATCTAATTTGAATGTTGTTTTTTAAATGTTTGTCCGTCTTATCAACATTTTTCGGGATTATAAGTATTTTTTACAGATTTTCATTGAATTAACACTTGATAAGATTTTATGAATTTTATGTATATATCTGTGTTTCTAGATGTGGGCAATGTATATAAAACGCCGTGAAAATCTTGATAAAACTTGATAAATTTTATGAATTATGTATATTTATAATATAAATATATATGTATGTTCATATGAATACACACGCACACACACACACACAACACACACACACACACACACACACACACACACACACACACACACACACACACACACACACACACACACACACAACACACACACACACATACACACACAACAACACACACACACGCACATACAACACACACATGCTTGTTCTTTTCAATATGTCAATGTTATATATACTCTTTCTGAAGAAACATTATGAAACATTATTCGTGACATTGAAATAAGAATCAGAATGTGGAGATAATATTAAAAGATAAAAGAAGTGGAAGGATGCAAATATGAAAAAAAAAAAAATAAGTTGAAATATATTATTATAAATATAATTATTATAAACTTTTTTCTATGTCCGATAGTCCCTTTTCTTTTAAACTCATTCTATCTTTCAAAGAAAAATCGTAAAATTTAGTGTAAATTCGTATTCAAGAATTTGGAACGTAAATATGTGTAACTTTTTGTATTTTTTCTCTCTCTTATCATTATCGGATTTCGCGTATATTTCCATTCCTTCAGTTATCTTCTCCATTTGTTAATTCTCTTCTCCTTTATTTAGTTATTACTTTAAGGAGGAGCGTGTCCGAGCCTTTACACTCACGGTCCCTTTTCTCACCCCGAACCCCCCCCCCCCCCCCCCCCTCCTCCTCCTGTTTTTTCAGTGAAAATATAACCGTTAAAATTATTTTTCCATCCTTTTCGAAAATTGAAGAGACCAAAAAGGATCGACCATATACACAAAGCATCCGTTAACCGTTGTGACGCATCAAAATAAACCCACGTGCTTTTTTTCTTCCAAAATTAGAATCAGACGCCATGACACCTCCTCGGGTTGCTACTGATCTAACCTTTCTCATAATTTTTATATCGAGAACAATAGAATATCTAACTGACTATTCAGTGTTGATTTATATGCTTGCAATAAAAACAGATTCCTCAAGTTATCTCTTCGTGATATCACTAAGTTTT